AAATACTAGGTATCGACCCGAAAGCAACCCAAAGAGATTTTTACAGCATGTGATTGATGTAATTAATCGAAACTTATTACAATTCGTGAGTATATTTTTATAGTATAGAATGTATAAGAGCCATGGTCGTGATTGCCAGCACTGTGATGTTATACAGACAATGTCACACATTCGCCCTAAAACATTCCAGAAAATTGGTTACACAAAAGGGCCAATGTTAACGTTAAGGGGTCATTATCTCGAAAACTTTTTAACATTCGCCTTTTTAAAAAAACCACGACGATACATGATTTTACAATTTTAAGTTATGTGAACCGAATTTTAAAAGCATGTGACTTTATATTTGATCACGTATATTTAAAAATAGAATTTGAAATAAAAAGTAGGAATTAGAAACGTACCAAAATGGTTTTATCACAACCGACTGGCATGTCAACATATCATGGTCAATATCACACAAATCCCAACTTCCTTAATATGAGATGAAAATTTTGGAAAAAGGATATGAGATTGTTAAAAAGTGATGAAAATACGAAGCTATATCATGTATCATATATGGGAAATGCAAATTATACGAAAATATTCGTAAAAAGCTGTGCACACTAAAAGATTTCTACCTTACCGGACTTTATAATTATATTTGAACAGACATTAATTGGACCGGACGCTGGAAGTGAAGGTTCTAGCTTTCATTTTAAATAAAGTCTGTCCAAGTCAACAATTTTTCCCAAAAGAATTTTAATTTTGGTCAATTTCATAGTTGTACAACTAGCTCGTACCTGTGTACCAGGTGAAAAGAGATTTTTACTGCTAAACATGAGAGATACTCGAATCTAACCTGTCGAGTTTTATTACTAATTGTTTTTCTTGGGTGAACTTAATATTATTTGTCTACTTGAACTGAATTGTGAATTGTAAATCATTTTATTATTTTACGCATACCACATATTCCAAAATTGTTATTGCTTAACGATCGTTTAAACGATCGTTTTTTTGCTGTATTAGAAATTGATAGAAGAATTATTTGCTAAAGCATTAAAATGACGGAAAAACGCCAAAAAAGATGAAACAATTTCGGATTTTGAATGGTTTTAAAAATTATGTCCGTTGACGCAATGTTCGGTCAAGTAACATTCTGTCTAGGCATGTTCTGTAAAACCGTAAGGAATTGAATAAAGATTAAAGAATTATAAGGAATGCCAGATTTGGAAACAAAACTCAACAGTAAAGCACTAACCGTTGTTTTGTAAAAACCCAAAATCATCATGTCAGGATTCAGGAGGATTTTTATATAGGTCGGCGCGGGCTTCTTCGTAGCACTTGCTTCGGGCGCCATAATATTTTGAGAAAAAAGCAGCGCACGCTACTTCGAAGAAATTTAGACCAGTAACATTGAACATCCGTCAAGAGGATTCCAAAGATTCCCAAATAACAAATAAGTTTCTCCGCCTTCTGAATATTCTCATTGCCTTATCCAAACATTTTAATAATTGACAAATTTATGGGGAATCGGTCACGAGGGCGGAAGTCGCGAGGACGGAGGTCGCTAGGACGGAAGACCCAAGTTTATCCAATTTTGATAAACTTAAAGCTTTATATTTGTGCTCAGGATATTAGTAGCTACACTGTACACGTTAAGCACCCCAAAGCAAATCAGGGTGAAATCCCCTTAAAAGTACCCTCTAAAAAACGGATCGCATAATCTCATGAGTACAAACTAAACCGCAAAAAGAGTCTTCAGGCGAAGATTCAAACAAAAGGAGCTACTTCAGTTTTGCTGTTACTGTTGGAGTAAAAAAGATTATTACTGAAAGTTTTGAGTGTGCTACTAATACTATATAAGAGGTTGATTTAAGATTTTAGAGGAAGGGAGCTGAAGAAGCTGGCGAGGGAAAATTGGGAGGAAGCCCACTGTTTTAGGTGGATCTACCTGTTGGAGTGGAAGTTGGAGTATGGTATGATTTTATGGTATTCCTGGTGCGGTGCAACTACATTGTAGCTGTAGGGAAATTGATCGTGCGACGTGCATGGTGTAACCGCGGCGAAATTTAGACTCGTGCGACGTGCTAATAATAATATTCGCAGGTTATTTTACTTAATTGGTCGATGAAGCAGTAAAATAAGAATTTAACTCGGTTACCGGACTTATTAGTAGAGGCTCTTACGGGCAAAAAGACGTGTTTTCTGCTACGAGTTTAGAGACCTAACCGCTAATTGGACACAATAGTATGATGTCTAAGAATCGATAATATGTTAAGAAGTATAAATTTGGCCTTATTAGTCACGTGCTATACCAATGCGCGTTTTAAACTTTGACAGTCTATTACTCTAAGGCAAATACAGTAATTATATTCATATTTTGTCAGCAATAAGATTACATTGTTTTCTATTTGGTGTGAAAATATGAGCTACAACGGACATAATCTCGCTGAGTTATAGCTGTTTAAAATTTATGATGAACGCGCGGATGCCAGTTGATAACAACTAAATGCTTTTGCGCGTAGTGCGCGTCGAAAATTTGGCAAAAACGCTTGCGGAGTGACAATATTCAAACTTCGATAAAGTATATGAAGTGGGTACTTCTCGGAAAGGAAAAATTTAGGCAAACACGATGTGACTATTTTTGGGTTGATTTAATACAACTGCAAAAAATTATTCAAACTTCAAGCAAAAAAGTCAAAATTTTTACTACTTTTTTGGATTTTTACCCCCAAAAAAATAGAGGGATTTTTCAAATTTTTAAACCATCTTGTGCGGCTGTGTTTTAGCTATCTCCATGCAAGTTTTGCTGACATGCCAACAAAATTAACTTGTTCAAAATATCAAAAAACATGGTTTTTTGGCCTATTTTTTGCCCAAAAATTGGTTTTTTGCGATTCTACCCCCAAAAAGTCAGTCCAATCATCTTAAAACCACTTTTAATCGATTCTACGGTCAAAAATACGTCTAGTAAGGTGTGTCTGGGGCGGGGTCCCTAGCGTATCGAGCAGACAATGCCCGTAAAAGCCTCTACTATATTGATAACATGCATCATCCTGATTTATCAATGTATCAATGAGTGTTTTATTATAAATTAAGGCACACATATCAGATTTAAAATAAGATCTGGCGCTAATTTCATCACTTAAAATTTAAGTTGAATTCAAATGTTCTATGATCAATTGTTAAACATTATTTGATCTCCCTAATCACAATGCTGGCAAGCATTACCGTCGCCCTTATATTCACAATACTATTTACCCCCTATACTATTATATCCCCTTTATTGTTTTCCAGGCATTAAGACTTTTTCGAAAGTAGTTCAGCAGGTACATTTAAGTTCAAAACATTCTAATTCAATGTTAAAGATGACAGGAATAAGAAATAGTTATATGGAGGTTTTTAAGAAATTTGCGCAAAATACGCGCCAGCATGTTATACGAAATTAGGTAAAAAACCCAAAATCGCCATATTCAGGTGCCTTAAAAACCATGTTAAAATTGAGTTAGAGATCTGAAACTTTGCAGGGCGTCTAGACCTTGTCCAAGTCGACAGTAAAAAAATTTCATGTTTCAGGAGTATCGGGAAGTGGGTTTTCTGGAACCCCTGTTTTACAACAGATTGTCGTGAAGATATATATATATGATAGATATATATATAGACGCTTTTTGCAGTCAATTGTAGCCTACATTTAAGTGTCCGTAGATTCAAAAGAATAAAAGATACAGTCATTTTGAACCACAGGTTTTAAAGATAATCGTTTATACCTCAGTTTACTTTATATTGAAAAATAATTTATCATCATCATCATCACTTGATGACGTCATCAATTTAAGTGTTTTTAAAACTTGATTTTTGACAAAACAACAACTTTTCAAATCGATTTTACACCATTAAAGAGTAATTTTATTCAAAATCTGAGGACATTTTCATCTTAGATAATTGTTCAAGCATTCTAAAAATCTACCGGAAAAGTTTCCTACCTTACTCCTTCATAAAGATATTTGCTATTGAAGTTAGTGCTTTTTTGAAGAATAATTTTATAAAAACACAAAAGTTGTGAATTAGTATTCTCTGGTGTTGGGCTATCCCTTGGGTTGTGGAGCTCAATTTTGCTTCTTAAAGGTGTAAATTGTGTTATAGGCTAGTTTTAAAGTTAAAAATCGAAAAGTTGCACACGTGGGGACACGCCCAAATTGATTTAAAATAGCTAAAATCACTAAAAATTTTGATTTTCATGATTTTTATCAACTTTGGAGTCCCGTTGTGATCCAAGTTCTTTTTGAAATCTTCTGAAACTTTGCATGCTTATCAAACTATATATTAAATACCACTATGCAAAAATTTACGGTGATTCAATATTGTATGCGCACGCAACGTCCGCTCAAAGTTTGCACGTGCGAAAGGTGAGAATTTTGCTCATTCGTGATTTCGAATATATTCTGCTTTCCACGATATTTAAATGGCATTATATATGAATTTAATGCCAACTTGAATGAGTAAAAAGTGCCATATTCAGTCGGTTATCGACAGATATACCTAACTAAACACAAGGAAACGTTTTCAAAGGCAGAATTTCGAAATCGTCGAAATTACCTCCTTGTTAATGAAGTTTCGACTAGCTGTGTAAATTATCCTGACATTATAATCAAAAAGAGATGATATTTGACCAAAACCCATAATCATGGGTAGAGTGTACCGCTGCCAGTGTCTCTCTTTTCCAAACAAAAGGAAATGATATTAATTCGAGGAACAGTCCGCTAATGCAAATTGATACCGAGAATGAAATCGGTCGCTCGCTTTTTCAATTCGATCACGGCTCACGAATTGTAATAAAGCTTATTGATTTGAAAAAGCGAGCGACCGATTTCATTCTCGGTATCAATTTGCATTAGCGGACTGTTCCTCGAATTAATATCATTTCCTTTTGTTTGGAAAAGAGAGACACTGGCAGCGGTACACTCTACCCATGATTATGGGTTTTGGTCAAATCTTATTTACAGAAAATGAAAATACTCCAGATAAAAGAACTGAACATTTCTCTCACATTGTATCAGTATGAGTAAATGGTATCGGATAAATGTTTGACGATCATCCTCTTTCATTTTTAGGAAACAACAAATTTCGAGCTGATTCCCACTCAAATTGTTGCTTTTCAAAAATAAATTAAAACGTATGACCTGCAGTCCAGCACTCTCGTTTGGAGGAAGGTCCTCAGAACGCGACTCTCGAATTGTCGATGATATCGCTTGAGAGGTTCTGAGATTGTCTGTGCGAGGAGATAAGGGGCTGGATGCCGTGCTGAAAGGGGGGCGGAACCCCCGAGTAGGCGGGCTGGTAAGTTTGGGGCACGGGAGTGAGGTGCGAGTTGCCCCAGATGGGGGTGGTCGGGGTCCATCCTACTACTGGAGGGTTGGAGGAGGCCCACTTGTCCTCCAGCCACGAGCTGCTTCCTGGAAAAACACCATGTTACATTAACTGTTTATCTAGTGGACTCAATTATCCTTTTAGCCAAGAAAATGGCAGATGATTCAGACGATAACAATTCAAACAAACCTCTTGAGTGAGGGGTAGGTTGGTTGGGGGGAGGGGCGGGAGGAGGGAGAGAGGGTGAAGGAGGAGGGAGGGAGTTACTAGGGTGAGATGGGATGGAGGACGACCCAGAGTGGGTGTTGTAGAAGTAGGAGGAGCACTGTTCTCTTGCGTTGTAATGAATGTTCCTCCCACCTGATCCCGTTACACCTGCGTTACCATAGCAACACGACGCACTGAAAAAAAATTATTTAGGGAATCTGTATTTTTTACAGGAGGCAAATATCAAGTCAAGATAAAACAGCGTTTCGAGCTTTTTCATAAAGCTCAAACGCAGTTTTAAAAAGAGATCTGACTGTAACAAACACTCATTCGGACCCTAATTATAAGCTATGCGTGAACTAACTTTTGAGAGGTGGCAGGGATTGAGGAAGGGCTTTGTCCCAGGATAGAACTCAGGTGAGGGTGTTGTCTTCCACTATTTGTCAGCACTGTAGGGAAAATACCAACTAGAGTTTTACAAGATAGGTTTGTAACTCTAAATTGTATTTATCAAGGTTTCACAGAAAAATCAGAACACATTCTTAAAAGCACGTTAAAAGCGGCACATTACCAGTGAGGAGAGAGTCAGGAGTTTCACTGGTAGGGAAGGAGCAGCTGATCGGGTTGAGCTCTATTCCTGGAGATGTTAGGTTCAATGCTGGACTGGAGTGATTCATAACGTGAGCTGAGGACACCATCTGCGCTTCAGGGGTCACGTGAGAGCTGCTTGAAGTCATTAGGGACTGAGGTGACGTTACATGTGGCACCGGTGACGTCATCATCGAGGCTGGTGACGTCATCATCGAGGCTGGTGACGTCATCATTGAGGCTGGTGACGTCATCATCGAGTTAGGTGACGTCATAAGGTTGGGGAGAAGAGGAGAGGTGGGTGCCGTGCTTTGTGGAGATATGGAGGAAGGGTGAAGCTGATCTGGTGACAAGCTTGAACTCGGCGAGTGCACTGAAAGAAGTCAATTTATCACATTATTTTTGTAGTATTATGCTTTAATCTCCCGAAAAGACGCGAAAAAGATTGCATTTTCAAGATTTTTCAGCTCAATTGTTGACCCCCATGTTTGAAGATGTGAACAGTAGAGAAAATGTCAACAACAAAATATGATACTAATATAATTATAAGATAATAGAAAATCTTAGCAAAATATGGGCACTTACTCTTTCCAAATGATGATCCCGTTGGACTACTATCCATCTGAAAAATTTAAATTATTTATGTGTAATTCATTAATTAATCGAGTAGTCTAACTTCAGAAGAACTGTAAATTTTAACTTGTTCTTGAAATTGAATATGTAAACAAACACGAACAGATAACTGAAAGTTTCTGGGCAATATCCAAGAATATCCAACAATTCGTTTGATCCATTGCTGAGTGCGCAGTAACTAATCACACTCAGACCTCTAAGAATAGCTCGAGACACCAACCCCCAGCGTTGTTTCACGCCTCACTTGAGTCATCAACCCCTCATGAGGCATGGTCCACTGGTCTAGGTCATTGAGCTCTTCTCGTCCTCAACAGATACATGGTCCAGTACCCCAGGTCATTGCCAGCGGAGTAACGCTATCTAGTGACACCCCATCATTCGTCAATTAGAGGCACTGATCTGCAGCCTGCTGTCTCGGTGCATGCTCCGACCAGCGGAGGAGGAGGAGGTGGTGGTCATTGGCCCAGTTACGGTCGCTGAGCCGCCTAATAAAGTATTTGGTACGGTTGGGTAGGCACTGCAGGTCATGTGTATTCTGTGATACGCTTGAGCAGCCTGCAGGGGGATCTGGGGCCGTGACACGGTCTGATGGAAACAGGGTCAGCTCTCCTCCTCCTCACTTCCTAGCTCACTCTCCCTCTTCCGTTGTGTAGCTTCTCCAAACCGCACCGATACCTCTCATATCGGGCGATTTGTCTCTGGCGAGTAGGCGGTTTCTTGTGAGTCCACCGCCTAAAGTCCTGGAAATGGATCAGTGAACTTTACCTTTCTGCTTGACTGCGCTGACTAAATGTTACTTCCAGTGATTGCATCCTTTGGGCTGAGCATTGCCACCGACAGTAACTTTTCTTTCTCATCTTTTTAGTGAACAAATCATGGCGGGTATTATCTTTGATTCGAGCAGTTAGTCATAAACTCACGGGAAGGGGTTACCCTCGGTTTTCTTAATGTCAATTTGATTGACAGGTTGCTCTACCAACTCGTTACGTGACGTTCATCTTTATTGGTCTAATACTTCTCAGCTTCCCTTACAGTGTTTTGTTGCTTCAAACTTTTTTCTTCAAGAGCATTGCCAAATTTACCAGTTTCAATTTGTCACTAAGTTTCCAACTTTTTTGTAAGTTTGATCGAGTGATTTATTGATTTGTGTAAGTGTAGATATCTAATTTCATGCTTCAACATTCTCAAAGTAATTCCTTATATGTTAGAATTTCTATTTATTTTAGTTTATATTTATATAAACTGCTTTATAAATCAGTTTTGACAAAACGCTCAAGATAACTTCCGCTTCATTTGACCTAGAGATAGTTACTGTGTTATATCCGTGAAGCCTGTTACTTCCAGCTGATGTTAGCACTCATTATACTTCATAAACACCAATCAGCTGATGTTAGCACTGATTATACTTCATAAACACCAATCAGCAGCCGAACATTAGAACAGAGCAACGTTGTCAGTAATTAGTTACCCAGGTAGCTGCAGTTAAGTAACCAAGTGAAATGTAGCAAGTAGCTAGATACAACTAGTAGCTGATATAGCCACTTATATAGCTGGCTTATCCTCTGGTATGTAACCTACCCTTTACATATCTTTACATCACGGGGCAGCATTGACTTCTAGTTAAGTGCATATGTCTGGCAATTATCAGCGAGCAAAGTCCCGATCCTGAAACCTTATCTGTTCCTTAGAGCCGCTACTTAAAGGCCACGTGACCCGGAACGTGACTCGTGACGTCACGCTGGCTCCATTCTGGGCCCGGCCAAAACTCATCTCACTATCTAGAGCTACATAAATATATTCCCAATACCATGCCTATATTACCGATATTATTTACGCTGAAACCACCAAGGTAGCGAACATCAAAACGGTTTTAAATCTATGTATGCTAAGATTTCTGGTCGGGCAGCTATATCGGTAAGGATGTAAAACAGCTATATCAGTCCTAGACTGCCAGGCAGCTATATCAACGTCAGGCTGCAAGACAGCTATATCTGCCAGGCTGCCACTATAAGCTTATAAGTATTATTACACTGCATCCGACATCCTGAGCTACTTGCCAGTGATTTAGTCTTATGGGAACCTACGCACGGTAGAGCACAGCAAGGCCGACCAAGACAAAGCTACTTGTCTATGTTACTGAATACTGAAGGAAGTTGGGACAAAATCTAAAGAGGAACTGCGAACCCTGATGCGGGACAGGGATACATGGAGGGGGTTATCTGGCGTAGATCGGACTTAGTTCCGACATAGTAGTAGTAGTAGTAGTAGTATTATAACTTACCTTTACACGGTTGTAAGGATCTGACTCTGATCTGTTGTAAGAGTAAACACAGCCCCCGACACTCCTGTGTCTGCGTGGTCGCTTCCTCACTTCTGTAATGGTACTGCTTTATAACCTCATAACTAATATTTTTTAAAGGGGGGACCCCCAACCCATGTTGCTGAGACACATCACAGCAAGTAGACCAAAGTGGCTCTTGCTTGTGAAAGGTGTATCAACTACCCGCCGAAGCGGTGGGTTGGGAGTTACCTCATAACTAATACTCACTCATCACTAAAGTGTTAGTGAGAAAGTATACGTTATCATGGTAGAGATAAGAACCCCGTCCTTATACCACTCAAAAGTGGGTACGCTCGGTAGTCGGTACGCTAGCGTACCGGGAAACAGGATTTAATAAAATACTTTTGAAAGGTTAGACCCCGTTATCAAAGTAGAGATTAAGCCACCCGGATATGTAAGATTATCTTGGTTTAAATTTGTGTTGTAATGTTTCCGAACTGTAAAAACACGCCCCATACTTTAGGGTTTGGTGATGTTTACCTGTTGCTAAGAAAGGGTTGGTGATGTTTACCTGTTGCTAAGAAAGGGTTGAAATCAGTGGCTCTGTTGAAGTTAGTAGGAACCTGTCCCATTATGTTTGGGGGTATCGTGAAGGACTGTTGTGGACACTCCTGAGGGTTCCAACCGTTAGGTTTATATTCAGCTAAATAAGAATATAAAATTTGTAGGGTAATTGTTTGTCGATAACAAAGAATTAACGTTCTATTCCTACATAATACATAGTTAACTCACACAGCCCCAATTTAGAATTGTATTCATGAAACTCCCTTAATTCCCGGACCATACAATTCCTGGTAAGTTCAGGTTATGCTTAGGATTATTAATGAAAATGGCCCAGAGGTCGGACCTCCGTAAACAATCTCACCTCCGGCTCAGCTTTAAGCTTGAGATCAGGTGTTTCAGTTTTAGGTCGGACAGTTTCCGTTACTTTGTTCCGTAGGATTCGGTTGATCGTACTAGCACTTGGCACCTGTATCAGGAAACAAATGTTAATATCTCAGTAGTGAAAGGTATGGTGACATGTTGGTTCCGTAACGGCCTCGTGTCTAGTAATCAAATTCGATCAAAGGAGTTTTTAATTGCAATAATTCTTCCCCTAATTTAGCAGTCAAAGAATAATTCTTTGACTATCGGAATTAAACTAATCTATAAAAGTTAATAAACGAAAATAAATATATTCTACTTATGATGAACACCCGGATCACACACTGATCCAACAATTGCAATTATCTTAAAGTTAAGCGGTAAATTGTCATCCGATTAACGTCTTTCATAAAGCTGTTTAATGCAGTTTTCTAAAAGTTAGTAGGACAATAAAGACAGTAATTTAACAATACAGCGGATAGTTATTGAGGTGAGTTAAGGTGAGAGGAGGAGAGAGCGAGGTAACTAAGGAGGGTACTAGTCGGTAACCACGCTAATTGAGAAGACTTGTCAGCTACACGACGTATCAATGACACTAAGCCCTGTTAGGGAGGGAGGCGAGTGTGATTGTAATTCTGGGAGGGTATCTAGCTACTTAGGGGCCCTGTTACTGACAAAACCAAACCACCAGTAAATTGGAGTAACTCTTCACACCTCCTACTCAACCCTCACTTTCCTTTCTTCTAGTTCTCTTCTTCGTCTCATCGGTACACTTTCTCTAGTCCTCTCTCTTTTATTTGTAATTTGCCTTTTTTTTCCCTTTTTTTCCACAACAAGTCATTTTGGTGAACGTTATTTTTCGTTTTCTAAGTTTACTTTGTCCTATATTTTTGCTGGCTCAGCATTATCTCGCCCCTTAACTCTTTCTCCCCACATTCTTTGCCTCTACTTCCTCCCCTCAATAGTCTTATCTATTTTCTCCCTTCGATTCAAATGGTTGTATCGACTACTTTTAGTGATCTTTTATTTTGTAGAAGAAGAAAATGAAACTTTTCTTTGCAATTCATCGTAATTGTTTTAGCTCGACATTCCTAATTCTATTGCGGTAGACACGTTCCCAGTAAATGTAACACATAAGAGAAGTTATAATTGTGAGCTCCGAGATCATATCTAAAATTAGGACGGATTGTAAGTCCTCAACTTACGAAGGGAGGTATTGTTTAACCCTGGGTTTTCCTGTCAGAAGAACCGTGTAAATTGATATGAACGATTGGCGGGTCTAAGCATGATGCGGGGACTAGACTAAAGAGGCAGGTAAACGTGATACCCTGACCACTTCTTGAAGTGAAACTAGGTGTAAATTGGTTGGGAGTCTCAGGGCTGATCTGTGGGGCCCTATCCATTGTTATCGTGAGTTGCCCTGCACCACTCACTCACACACAAAATCAATACCTAGCCTATTATTATGGCAATTCTTGTAATCAAATTAGGATGACTTAAAATCGACAGTAATTTTGTAATTTTGTGTGCTAAGTGCAGCACTGAGAAGCTGTGTTTGATTGCGAGGTATGCGGTTGAGAGTGAAGTAAGCGTTATAAGGACCCTGTCCGTGTAGTACTGGCATCTGAGCAGGGGAACCTGGCTCACTCCCTCCTCACCGGGTGTAATACTGATCTAATCAGGTAGAATAGCCCTGCCACATCGCGCTCCTTCCCCCACATACAAGTGGCTTGTTAATCTACAGGGAATTCGATCTCTCACCCTTCTGCCGGGAATGTGGGACATTATTTGTACCCCTTTTAGGAGAAACTGGTTGGAAAACTTAGGTGATGTAGCAGCTCTAATCCAGCTTCGCAATTAGAAATGCCCTGAGCTCCGATTGAGAAGATTCTGTAAGATTCTCGTAGACAGGCTAACTTTAAACATTGTTAAATTCTAGAGACACATCTTTGGGGACTTGTTACTCGTCTTAGAGAAATATTATCGTCGAACCGGCCAGTCACCTTAACAACATGTCTAAGTCTATAATACCGGTACATTGTCAAATGTCAAGACCAATTCAAGGACTGCCCTTCCAATAAGGTATACCGAATTTAAATGATATTTAATGGACTCCTCCTCCTCCGAAATGTGAACAATAGAGTAGGGTGCAGGTGGGGCGACTATTAAGTTAATGTGCTCGATTTGTAGAGGTCCAGACAGGTGCCACTATTGAACTGAAAGCAGTTTACAGAACATGGTCACTAGGTACTTGCTCTACTTGGTGGACAATGTGTTTAGTAGCCGTGTTCCTCACTCTGTCTGCACACATTATAATAATATGTTCCCATGACAGGTGAAGTGAGTTGTCGTTAGTGCAGCTGTTAATGTCCCCCTCTTCTCTTATCCCCCTCTTGTCCCCCTCTCTTATACTGATGATGTGCACCAACAGACCGAAACCTCCCTCCCCACCAGCCCCCCTGGACCAGGTGGCCCCCCACTTTTTGCTGCTAATTTTCCATGTGATTCCTTGGCCAGGGTAGCTGAGTGATAGGTGGAGGGTATGTCACGTGACAGAGCCAGGTTCAGTCACTGGTCCCCACATCACCACCTCTCACGTGTCCATTTAATAGGGCTCTGGGGAGGCGAGATGTTGCGATTATCAATATAGTAAATTGTAACATGATAAGATCGAACTATTGCTCTATTGGATACCTGTGCCGCACTAGGCAGAAATTAATAATATTATTCATATCTGCAAATGTTGGTGTATCTAGGATCAGTCCTATCTATGTTGAAGTCGTATCTTGGTCGTAAGATACTCTCTATATTTTAATACTCTAAAGTATAATGTAATCTGGTATAGGTCTGAAAATACGCTGAAATCTAAGTTAAATTGGGAAGTGTCTATATTCTACAGTACAACGATACAGAATTGGTGGTTGAGATATCTGATAATAATAACAGAAGATCTAGCGGTATTTCTACTCGAAAGGCTAGGAACTCTTACTTTACTTAACGTATTTGTGGCCGTGTAGAATCAATTAAAATGGTCCGGTAATGATAGGATTGATTTTTTTGTGTATTTTGATTGGCTGACTGGCAATTTCTAAAAAACTACCAATTCTATAGCATGTAGATTGTAGGGGCGTATCTAGATACCTTGTGTTACAGTCGTATCACGAAGACATGTTTTAATAGAATCGTAACGATCCCCTCTATACTCGTGCCGGGGGAAATAGTCTGCTAATATGCCGGTCCTGTGCTAACTAAATCAGGCCTCTTTAGAATGATAACTAACATCTGGTTGATGTTAACAAAGGGCTGAAACCCAATAATGCTCTAAAATATGGTGTTCTCAAAGACTCATGAACCACGCAAACCGGTTTCACAATCCAAGATACCGCCTCCCCACTCAAATAAGTGACAATCTATTTAGCACTTACTTCTCATTGCTTTACCTTTGTCTTTTAGTATTTCAGTAAGTTCACAAAGTTTTATCATAATATATTATAACTGCTAGACAATAATCCAGGCTATAGTTGAATAATCAAGTACCGGTTCAGATAGTGTACCATCCTAGTGTACCATATTCGGTGCACTCTCGAAAAACACTATCTCACCTTGTTGGCTGGCATACCGTCCATAAGCAATCGGTCCCTTATCTCCCAAGCAAACATACTCGGGTTCCTTCTCTTGTACTCACTGAGGGGGTTACTATGGTTACTAGGGGTTACTATAATGACTAATTACTTAGTAATGTTGGAAATTATTACATTCAGAAGAGTTTTCAAGATCTATTTTCCAATAATTTTATGAATAAAAATATTACAATGACAATTACTTATACCATGACAAATAATTAACATACAAATAACCAGTACTTAGTCACCATGACAGCTAATTAGTCAACATGACAACTAGTCAGTCAACATGACAACTAATTAGTAATTAGTCGCCATGACAACTAAATGTCACCTGATAATGGCCACTACTTCTGGAGTTGCCACTTTGGGTTTGCTCCCTCCAATGTTCCCTGGGAGTATGGACCCTGAAGTGAAGATTATTTTAACGACATTTTCGGCCACATCTAATCAGGTTATATCCCATCCCCCAAAATTAACTCATGACTGCCTCCAAAACCTGTTTTTCATCATTAAACTTTTTATGTTGGGATACGATTAAATATTGTTTGGTTCTGCTCGGATAATTCAATACTTGAGCGGACGTGATTTCGGCCATCCTATTAAGTCTAAACTCAATTACTGAGGGTTTATTCCACTGTTGATTTTCAAAGTAGTGGAGCAGTGGTCTGCACTCTCTCAATTACAACTCGGCAATCTCTGTGCGCCAAGTAACATTATTCGATTAGAGGGGATCAAAATCAGGTTTTCTTGATTAAAATCCAATAAAGAGGTAAAATGTAGGGCGCTTCTCAGTGGCGAAGTTGGGAACATCAGGCTCTGTAACTCACTTAATTTGAATTTCATTCAATTCAAGAGTAAAATGGTGAATTGTTTGAGGTTCGGGCGAAATGATTCAATGTTGGACAATAAGGATAGATACATCCAGAGCGGAGAGCGTCACTGTTCTCAACTTATATATTAATTTTTACTGCAGTGAATAATTGGAAAAACGTTTCTGTGTCACGGAATAGTTATTCTTAAAGTTTTACCTGTGTCTGAGTACCGGCCGAGAATCTTGCTAACACAACCGTGACTCACTCTTAACTGTCGACTGTGGGATATAAGTAGTTACTAAAAAGCTATAATATCAAATTACCACGAGAATAAATTACTATAACGACAAGTTTCAATAACAAAAAGTTACCATGACAGCAAGTTATCACGACAACAAGTTATCACGACAACAAGATACCACAATAACAAGTTACCACGATAACAAGTTACCACAATAATAAGTTACCACGACAACAAGTTACCACGGCAACAAGTTACCACGATAATAAGTTACCACGAGAACAAGTCATCACAATAACAGTTTGACATGATACAATTTAAGCACAGTACTGTTAATTTTGAGATTAGAGTCAAGGTGAAAGAACTAAGAAGAAGCGAAGAAAAAAGATAAGAAAGATAGTGACAAGTGAATTTGGTTGCACCTCGCGCGCGAGTGAACCGTTGTTAACGTTTGGTGCATTGTGAAAGTCTCGCAGAATTTTATGACGTTATAACACAATCTTTCAGTTAAAGTCAAACTCCGCAAAACCGTGCTTGGCAGCCGTGGAAGGGTGATGAAAGAGAATCATAAATGCACATGGTTCGAAAATATCACTTATTATATAGGGTGCACGATTTAACCTGATGTTTGGGGGGTAAGGTTTACTTAATGAAAAGTTGTATGGTTTGTAACCTTGGAGACTGACCTGATATCACAAGGTTCTATGGTTTGTAACCTTGGAGACTGACCTGATATCACAAGGTTCTATGGTTTTTAATCTTGGACACTGACATGATATCACAAAGTTCTATGGTTTGTAACCTTGGAGACTGACCTGATATCACAAGGTTCTATAGTTTGTAACCTTGGACACTAACCTGATATCACAAGGTTCTATGGTTTGTAACTTTGGAGACTGACCTGATATCACAAGGTTCTATGGTTTGTAACCTTGGAGACTGACCTGATATCACAAGGTTCTATGGTTTGTAACCTTGGAGACTGACCTGAATCCTGATATCACAAGGTTCTATGGTTTGTAACCTTGGAGACTGACCTGATATCACAAGGTTCTATGGTTTGTAACCTTGGAGACTGACCTGATATCACAAGGTTCTATGGTTTGTAACCTTGGAGACTGACCTGATATCACAAAGTTCTATGGTTTGTAACCTTGGACACTGACCTGATATCACAAGGTTCTATGGTTTGTAACCTTGGAGACTGACCTGATATCACAAGGTTCTATGGTTTGTAACCTTGGAGACTGACCTGATATCACAAGGTTCTATGGTTTGTAAACTTGAAGACTGACCTGATATCACAAGGTTCTATGGTTTGTAAACTTGGAGACTGACCTGTCACCTGATATCACAAGGTTCTATGGTTTGTAACCTTGGAGACTGACCTGATATCACAAGGTTCTATGGTTTGTAATCTTGGAGACTGACCTGTCACCTGATATCACAAGGTTCTATGGTTTGTAACCTATGGTAACCTTGTTAACTATGGAGACTGACCTGATATCACAAGGTCTAACTCCGAAGTGAGCCAGATCGACGATTCTCTTTCTGATGTCCTCCGGCAAGGGTCGTCCGTTTTTAAAAGAACCTCCTAGTTGATTCACTCCAATACGTCTATTATCTGCGAATTGATCATGACTAGAAACAGCAAGATTTTGAAAAGAGAACTATAAGAGCCAACTTCAATGGCGGTTTGGAAACTGTGTGGCAGGTTCATGCTTACTTCCCCCGGAAATAACCTAACCAAAAACATTTCCGGGCCCGACAAGGACAAAATTGGTCGTCACCCGATATCTTGTCGGTTCCTACAGCCGCAGGTAAGATAAGGCTACGTCAAGTAAAAACAAAATAAACCGGAGAACATAGCTAGAATTTAGCTTAATATCGGGAGAAAGTTTAAGCAGCAAAAATCTTAAGTTTAAAATTTTGCACGTACAAATAGAATTTTCTAATCAAACCCTACCCAGCATCCAAATTAGCGAGGGGAGTCGAACATTTCGCTACACCGCAGATGGAACATAATAATAATTATACTCAATTTCGAACGTGTAAGACATTTACAATCTCAAATGACACATAATATTGGCTGGTGCCGTTCAATGGACCGTGACTAAGAGTCAGCATTGCCTGCTCTAATCAGCCAATCGGCACGCGGTGTTGACGTCACGTGCCGGTAATCAGCAAATAGGAGAGTTCGGCGATATCACGTGATTGAGCGATTGAGCTAGGGCAACAGTTTCACGGTGTCTTATCTCGGAGGGCTTGGGAGGCTAGGGTTACTGGTATTGTCGGTGATACTTATCACTCAATAGGCGGTCCTTAGCAGAGCGACCATTGTTCCTAGCCCCAGTCGCTAATGTGCTAATAGAAACATGCCGAACTGTTTCGTTTGATTCTTGCCGACATCGAGCAGGATTAACCAACTTTCCGGTAGCTTCCAGGCCCCGGGTCTACCTTAAAACGTGATTCTAAATACACCGAAACAAAACTCTCAGCATTGTTACTCTGTCTCAATCGCTTTGGTAAAGGATTTTACCTCTGCTCCTCAGACCGGACATTACATTGTATTGTTTTATGAAGGAGCATCGCTACTCCGGGACGCTCGTGCCCCTGTTATTCGAAATTTAGGATTAATTGAGTTAGAGGGCTCTATTACTGTATTAATGAAATTAAATTACCTTTGGCGTGGTCGTTGTGATTCCTAGACGCTCGGCAATCCCCTGTGGGCGGGCTCAGTTAGTGAAGATATGACACTGTCAACGTCAGGGATATACGGCACAGAAACAGCAGACAAGACACAAGGACGACAAGTGAAGGGGAGAGGGACCGGAGAAGGGGTAAGGAAAGTGTTCGCCAAGAAGTAAGCGATATACCGACAGTATGAGGGAAGGTATGGAACCAGCCCATACTTGGGGGAGTCTGGGTCTGCGATCTAGACTCAGTGGTTAGGGGCAGACACCTTCCCTTCACTACCGACCACGTGCTCTATTTCCTCGCTCTGATTGGTTTATAACATGTCACGTGATAAGTTTCCTAACTCGCTACACACCACACTTATCGGCCTGGTTCAGGGCTCATAGCTCTCCAAGGCCTCTGATAGATATATTGTACTGGTAAGCTGCTAAATACTTACAATTAATAATCTCAACAAGGGCATGGTCCACTAATCAGCTGCCTGATAGTGAGCGATTAAACCAGATAATGTTACACTTTCTTCCTAATCTAGATGCACGGGGGCAGAAGCTTCAGTCCAGATTCAGGTGACTAGTGATGATACGAGTGGACAGGTTGTATTGGGGTTTAAAGTTTACCAGCCCGATCAGGAGACCATGCGACTGCAAACAGTTCCTCTGAAATCCCTCGGAGTCGATGAGTGCTTTTGTAGGCTGCTCTCAGATTACCTGCCTCAACCTGACACTTATGCCACACTCATGTCAGGCCACGTAGTAAACTGCTGTCTTTTTCCTCTGTCTCCAACAAGTGATGCTGTGTATCCAAACACTGGACATGCAGTGTGCAAATAATCTTTAACAAAACCAGCTCATAGTCCTCTCGTGAACAGGTTCCTGGTGTCAGTGTTGAAAACACCAGCTAGCGGTGCAGGTTGGAGGTTCATCACCAACAAAAGTGGATAATAAGTATTAACCACTCATAACTTCATAAGATCGAGCTGAATGAGTCATCAATTTAAGAATTAATCTCTGACAAAATCATGCTGGCTGTGCAGTAGTGTGATACATAATGAACAGTTTTACAGAACACAGAGTTCACCCTTCATTAGTAAACTTTATGTCAGTGGTGGACGGGAGGGAAGCTTAAAAATCAGTCACTACAATTATTATAGCCGATATGGAATGTTTTTCAAACTTTTAATGGTGCTACAGATGCAGATCCAGAAAACAGAAGACCCAGAAAAAGCTTAACATTCAGAAAACTGAAACATCATTGAGGACAGTTGAATAGTTGCAGGCTGAAGAAAGTCGAGAAATTAGAGGGAATTGAAATGGTGTGTAAAAATTAGAGTTATAAAGAATGGCGTGCCTTCGGACAGAATCCTTCCGTACGGTTCTTCGGCAATAATCAAAATTACATCTCTGATATCGTCCTTCTGGCTCGGGAGTTTGCGTCCAAGATTACTGAGTGTACTTTACGAACTATCTGTTAAACCAAAGTATAATTTTGTTTACTTAATCTAGGTAACTCAATCACGTCACCAAGGTAACTCAATATACGTCACCGAGGTAACTCAATGTACGTCACCAAGGTAACTCAATGTACGTCACCGAGGTAACTCAATGTACTTCACCAAGGCAACTCAATGTACGTCACCAAGGCAACTCAATGTACGTCACCAAGGTAACTCAATACACGCCACCAAGATCACTTAATTCAAATCACCAAGATTACTTAATGCACAAATCACCAAGGTGACTTTATTTGCGTCACCAAGGATACGGATTGAGCGTTACCAAAACGTACACTTTTGTGAGTATGACCACTCCCGAAAGTCAAGACAGAACTATGCAAAGTAAGCCTGAAGGGTAATATCTAAAAAGAGCCGTTGTCAAGTTTTAAAAAAGGAACGGTAACGAACTACAGTTAGCGCTGGATCGCGTAAAACGAGAGTGGTAGCTACTTTAAAATACTGAGTAATGAAAACGCCAACTTTATGTAATCTATTTACCTGACATTAGTTAGGGGGCGAAGCAAAATAAAAATGAATTTAGCAATAACTCGGTTTGCGATATAAGAATATTGCTCTAAAACTAAGGTCACGTTACTTGGTGTCGGGGGTGCATGATGCTGATAAGTCGGTGGGACTGTGCACGTGGGCGCCTCCGCCAATCAGGGAGCTCTCACGTGACTAGGAGAGCCAGTGAGGAGCTGGTGTAAGTAGCGTATCAGTTTCTAACTTTACATTCCTGCCAGTAGACCTGAAGAGGAGTGTGACTATGCCAAGAAATCCCGTAAACAATACGACTGCTGCATGATCTCTGACCACGGTCCCTGGTAAAGTAAACAGCACATTCTTGCGCGTTCCACTCAACCTGAACCCCTTGTGCTTCCTAGTTACCTGCCTTGCTATTGATTGTAGTTTGCACTGTCATCTTATTCAGTAATTGAGCATACAGTGACAGGCAGCTTATCAGTTTCCTCATTCATAATTACCGCTACGAATAAGTTACTGGGCCGCGCTCAGCCTGTCATTCCGCCTAATCTCTATTCCGCCTAATCTCTATTATGAACATAATAGCCTGAGGTCCCCAGGTAACGAATAAGGCTCACTTCAGGCCAGCCATTTATTTCCGCATTCGATTGCGGTCCTTGGAAAAAAGTCATTCGGTGATTCAGTGGCAATCAACGGACACTAATCCTGCTGGAAGAGCCTCCTGTGAAGTGTGACTTCTTCTATGAGGAAGGGTCGTTTACGAAAAACCTGTAATCCATGGCTCTGAGAGTTCTGGTTAAGCGTTCCACGATTTTGGTCTGTGTTATGGCCCATAATTTATGGGTTCGGGACTATTAGGTATAAACCCCCACAAAATTCCAAACCAAAATTGATTCTAATAACCCGAATTGTCAAATCAATTGTTGGTATTTTGGCTGTGGCTGTGGCTGTGGCTGTGGCTGTGGCTGTGGCTGTGGCTGTGGCTGTGGCTGTGGCTGTGGCTGTGGCTGTGGCTGTGGCTGTGGCTGTGGCTGTGGCTGTGGCTGTGGCTGTGGCTGTGGCTGTGGCTGTGGCTGTGGCTGTGGCTGTGGCTGTGGCTGTGGCTGTGGCTGTGGCTGTGGCTGTGGCTGTGGCTGTGGCTGTGGCTGTGGCTGTGGCTGTGGCTGTGGCTGTGGCTGTGGCTGTGGCTGTGGCTGTGGCTGTGGCTGTGGCTGTGGCTGTGGCTGTGGCTGTGGCTGTGGCTGTGGCTGTGGCTGTGGCTGTGGCTGTGGCTGTGGCTGTGGCTGTGGCTGTGGCTGTGGCTGTGGCTGTGGCTGTGGCTGCGGTTGCGGTTGCGGCTGTGGTTGCGGCTGTGGCTGTACAAATGCTACTCAAGCGAAAGACAACGACGACATGTATTATATTAAGATTGAAAAATAAAAATTATAGAAAAGACCTCACAGCGGTAAACAGCTGGTTCTTTATTCGAGGGAAGTCTAACAAACGCTCAAATGTATTATACGCTAGCGACCAATGTATGCTAATAGCAAACTCATCAAAGCTTTAAAAAGTTCAAAATCAGAATACCGAATCGGTGTAAGGAAAATAAATTTTTGAAAAAAATAGAAGAAACGAAATCAGAAATCTACGAGTACGATTGAAAAGACAGGAACGTCCGGAATATTATTAGTTTTATTGAGAACCTAATAAATCCGTGACCAGATGCAGGACAATAACACGTTGTCAGAATACACACCAGAGTGTGGTGAACCGTGCACAGCGTGAAATTTGCGGGCTACAAACAGATTCTACCGAGCATCTCGTACCTTTCTCTGCGGCGGACCCCGTCGTCTCGTTCTGTTCCAACTCAGTGAGCAACTCTGTTTTACAACTCCAATCCTCCGCAAAGTTCTCGGGGGCGAGAACCTCAGACTTGGTGGTTAACATCTCGCGAACACATGCAGTACTACACACAGCCGGGAATGAGGGGTCCCAGGTACATCTCTTCTTGTTTGCTGTTCTCGGCTCGTAACATTGCACTGACCACGTGTTACGCACGTGTCCGTCCCGTGCTCCCCACGTGGTCACCTGACCGGTGGCCAGTGGGGCAGCAGATGGCCGCCCTACCTAACAGGACCCCTACCAAATTCCTCGTTTTTCAGATGAATGTGCGGTTTTGTACCTTTATATTCATAATCTGAGAGAACCGATACTGCTATGAAACTACAGCCTCTGAAACGATCGGACAGTCTTAAATCGTCCGATTTGGTATGCGTTGTGAATAAGAATTCGAATAATATAATATGATAATACGAGGCTTGGACGTAGTTAGCTCGTGAAAAACACGTGGGAGTCGGGAACCACGTGTTACAAAGTTGACCACGTGACACGTGGAACTATATGAGAATACTAATGATCTGGAATTGTAACAAATCAACCATCCAGCCGCTCAATCAAAGTTAATTCCATCACTATCATCTTTCCACGACACATTTCTTATAAAAGAGCCTTGTGGTTATTTGCAAGATGACGTCATAGTGTAGGTCGTTAGCGTGAAGCTGTTGCTAGACGTACGTTAATCATAGTGACATTTATGATAGTGACGTCAATGTTACAGTTGATGGAGCGGAAAGAGTCGGAGTCATTAGTTGAGGAGGAGGGGAACTGGTGACGTGATTTATAGCTTCAGGAGGACGGGAACTGGTGACGTACTTTATAGCTTCAGGAGGAGGGGAACTGGTGACGTACTTAGCCTCAGGAGGACGGGAACTGGTGACGTACTTAGCCTCAGGAGGACGGGAACTAGTGACGTACTTAGCTCCAGGAGGACGGGAACTAGTGACGTACTTAGCTTCAGGAGGACGGGAACTAGTGACGTACTTAGCTTCAGGAGGACGGGAACTAGTGACGTACTTAGCTTCAGGAGGAGGGGAACTAGTGACGTACTTAGCTTCAGGAGGACGGGAACTAGTGACGTACTTAGCTTCAGGAGGAGGGGAACTAGTGACGTACTTAGCTTCAGGAGGAGGGGAACTAGTGACGTACTTAGCTTCAGGAGGACGGGAACTAGTGACGTACTTAGCTTCAGGAGGACGGGAACTAGTGACGTACTTAGCTTCAGGAGGAGGGGAACTAGTGACGTACTTAGCTTCAGGAGGACGGGAACTAGTGACGTACTTAGCTTCAGGAGGACGGGAACTAGTGACGTACTTAGCTTCAGGAGGAGGGGAACTAGTGACGTACTTAGCTTCAGGAGGACGGGAACTAGTGACGTACTTAGCTTCAGGAGGACGGGAACTAGTGACGTACTTAGCTTCAGGAGGAGGGGAACTAGTGACGTACTTAGCTTCAGGAGGACGGGAACTAGTGACGTACTTAGCTCCAGGAGGACGGGAACTAGTGACGTACTTAGCTCCAGGAGGACGGGAACTAGTGACGTACTTAGCTCCAGGAGGACGGGAACTGGTGACGTACTTTGTAGCCTCAGGAGGACGGGAACTAGTGACGCACTTAGCTTTAGGAGGACGGGAACTAGTGACGTACTTAGCTCCAGGAGGACGGGAACTAGTGACGTACTTAGCTTCAGGAGGACGGAAACTGGTGACGTACTTAGCTTCAGGAGGACGGAAACTAGTGACGTACTTAGCTTCAGGAGGAGGGGAACTAGTGACGTACTTAGCTTCAGGAGGAGGGGAACTAGTGACGTACTTAGCTTCAGGAGGAGGGGAACTAGTGACGTACTTAGCTTCAGGAGGACGGGAACTAGTGACGTACTTAGCTCCAGGAGGACGGGAACTAGTGACGTACTTAGCTCCAGGAGGACGGGAACTGGTGACGTACTTTGTAGCCTCAGGAGGACGGGAACTAGTGACGCACTTAGCTTTAGGAGGACGGGAACTAGTGACGTACTTAGCTCCAGGAGGACGGGAACTAGTGACGTACTTAGCTTCAGGAGGACGGAAACTGGTGACGTACTTAGCTTCAGGAGGACGGAAACTGGTGACGTACTTTATAGCTTCAGGAGGACGGGAACTAGTGACGTACTTAGCTTCAGGAGGACGGGAACTGGTGACGTACTTAGCTTCAGGAGGACGGGAACTAGTGACGTACTTAGCTTCAGGAGGACGGGAACTAGTGACGTCCTTAGCTTCAGGAGGACGGGAACTGGTGACGCACTTAGCTTTAGGAGGACGGGAACTGGTGACGTACTTAGCTCCAGGAGGACGGGAACTGGTGACGTACTTAGCTTCAGGAGGAGGGGAACTGGTGACGCACTTAGCTCCAGGAGGACGGGAACTGGTGACGTACTTAGCTTTAGGAGGACGGGAACTGGTGACGTACTTAGCTCCAGGAGGACGGGAACTGGTGACGTACTTAGCTTCAGGAGGACGGGAACTAGTGACGTACTTAGCTTCAGGAGGACGGGAACTAGTGACGTCCTTAGCTTCAGGAGGACGGGAACTGGTGACGCACTTAGCTTTAGGAGGACGGGAACTGGTGACGTACTTAGCTCCAGGAGGACGGGAACTGGTGACGTACTTAGCTCCAGGAGGACGGGAACTAGTGACGTACTTAGCTCCAGGAGGACGGGAACTAGTGACGTACTTAGCTCCAGGAGGACGGGAACTAGTGACGTACTTAGCTCCAGGAGGACGGGAACTAGTGACGTACTTAGCTTCAGGAGGACGGAAACTAGTGACGTACTTAGCTCCAGGAGGACGGGAACTAGTGACGTACTTAGCTTCAGGAGGACGGGAACTAGTGACGTACTTAGCTCCAGGAGGACGGGAACTAGTGACGTACTTAGCTCCAGGAGGACGGGAACTAGTGACGTACTTAGCTCCAGGAGGACGGGAACTAGTGACGTACTTAGCTTCAGGAGGACGGAAACTAGTGACGTACTTAGCTTCAGGAGGACGGGAACTGGTGACGCACTTAGCTTTAGGAGGACGGGAACTGGTGACGTACTTAGCTCCAGGAGGACGGGAACTGGTGACGTACTTAGCTCCAGGAGGACGGGAACTAGTGACGTACTTAGCTTCAGGAGGACGGAAACTGGTGACGTACTTAGCTCCAGGAGGACGGGAACTAGTGACGTACTTAGCTTTAGGAGGACGGGAACTAGTGACGTACTTAGCTCCAGGAGGACGGGAACTAGTGACGTACTTAGCTCCAGGAGGACGGGAACTAGTGACGTACTTAGCTCCAGGAGGACGGGAACTAGTGACGTACTTAGCTTCAGGAGGACGGAAACTGGTGACGTACTTAGCTTCAGGAGGACGGAAACTGGTGACGTACTTTATAGCTTCAGGAGGACGGGAACTAGTGACGTACTTAGCTCCAGGAGGACGGGAACTAGAGACGTACTTAGCTCCAGGAGGACGGGAACTAGTGACGTACTTAGCTTCAGGAGGACGGAAACTGGTGACGTACTTTATAGCTTCAGGAGGACGGGAACTAGTGACGTACTTAGCTCCAGGAGGACGGGAACTAGTGACGTACTTAGCTCCAGGAGGACGGGAACTGGTGACGTACTTAGCTCCAGGAGGACGGGAACTAGTGACGTACTTAGCTTCAGGAGGACGGGAACTAGTGACGTACTTAGCTCCAGGAGGACGGGAACTGGTGACGTACTTAGCTTCAGGAGGACGGGAACTAGTGACGTACTTAGCTCCAGGAGGACGGGAACTAGTGACGTACTTAGCTTCAGGAGGACGGAAACTGGTGACGTACTTAGCTTCAGGAGGAGGGGAACTGGTGACGTACTTAGCTTCAGGAGGACGGGAACTAGTGACGTACTTAGCTCCAGGAGGACGGGAACTAGAGACGTACTTAGCTTCAGGAGGACGGGAACTAGTGACGTACTTAGCTCCAGGAGGACGGGAACTAGAGACGTACTTAGCTCCAGGAGGACGGGAACTAGTGACGTACTTAGCTCCAGGAGGACGGGAACTAGTGACGTACTTAGCTTCAGGAGGACGGGAACTAGAGACGTACTTAGCTCCAGGAGGACGGGAACTAGTGACGTACTTAGCTCCAGGAGGACGGGAACTAGTGACGTACTTAGCTCCAGGAGGACGGGAACTAGAGACGTACTTAGCTCCAGGAGGACGGGAACTAGAGACGTACTTAGCTTTAGGAGGACGGGAACTGGTGACGTACTTAGCTCCAGGAGGACGGGAACTAGAGACGTACTTAGCTCCAGGAGGACGGGAACTAGTGACGTACTTAGCTCCAGGAGGACGGGAACTAGTGACGTACTTAGCTTCAGGAGGACGGAAACTGGTGACGTACTTAGCTTCAGGAGGAGGGGAACTGGTGACGTACTTAGCTTCAGGAGGACGGGAACTAGTGACGTACTTAGCTCCAGGAGGACGGGAACTAGTGACGTACTTAGCTTCAGGAGGACGGGAACTAGTGACGTACTTAGCTCCAGGAGGACGGGAACTAGTGACGTACTTAGCTCCAGGAGGACGGGAACTGGTGACGTACTTTGTAGCCTCAGGAGGACGGGAACTAGTGACGCACTTAGCTTTAGGAGGACGGGAACTAGTGACGTACTTAGCTCCAGGAGGACGGGAACTAGCGACGTACTTAGCTTCAGGAGGACGGAAACTGGTGACGTACTTAGCTTCAGGAGGACGGAAACTGGTGACGTACTTTATAGCTTCAGGAGGACGGGAACTAGTGACGTACTTAGCTTCAGGAGGACGGGAACTGGTGACGTACTTAGCTTCAGGAGGACGGGAACTAGTGACGTACTTAGCTTCAGGAGGACGGGAACTAGTGACGTCCTTAGCTTCAGGAGGACGGGAACTGGTGACGCACTTAGCTTTAGGAGGACGGGAACTGGTGACGTACTTAGCTCCAGGAGGACGGGAACTGGTGACGTACTTAGCTTCAGGAGGACGGGAACTAGTGACGTACTTAGCTCCAGGAGGACGGGAACTAGTGACGTACTTAGCTCCAGGAGGACGGGAACTAGTGAAGTACTTAGCTTCAGGAGGACGGAAACTGGTGACGTACTTAGCTTCAGGAGGACGGGAACTAGTGACGTCCTTAGCTTCAGGAGGACGGGAACTGGTGACGTACTTAGCTCCAGGAGGACGGGAACTAGTGACGTACTTAGCTCCAGGAGGACGGGAACTAGTGACGTACTTAGCTTTAGGAGGACGGGAACTAGTGACGTACTTAGCTTCAGGAGGACGGGAACTGGTGACGTACTTAGCTTCAGGAGGACGGGAACTAGTGACGTACTTAGCTCCAGGAGGACGGGAACTAGTGACGTACTTAGCTCCAGGAGGACGGGAACTAGTGACGTACTTAGCTTTAGGAGGACGGGAACTAGTGACGTACTTAGCTCCAGGAGGACGGGAACTAGTGACGTACTTAGCTTCAGGAGGACGGGAACTAGTGACGTACTTAGCTTCAGGAGGACGGGAACTGGTGACGTACTTAGCTTCAGGAGGACGGGAACTAGTGACGTACTTAGCTCCAGGAGGACGGGAACTAGTGACGTACTTAGCTTCAGGAGGACGGGAACTGGTGACGTACTTAGCTTCAGGAGGACGGGAACTAGTGACGTACTTAGCTCCAGGAGGACGGGAACTAGTGACGTACTTAGCTTCAGGAGGACGGGAACTAGTGACGTACTTAGCTTCAGGAGGACGGAAACTGGTGACGTACTTTATAGCTTCAGGAGGACGGGAACTAGTGACGTACTTAGCTTCAGGAGGACGGGAACTGGTGACGTACTTAGCTTCAGGAGGACGGGAACTGGTGATGCACTTAGCTTTAGGAGGACGGAAACTGGTGTGTGGTGATTATTTGCAGTTTTTGGTAAAAGTATCATCCGTAAATTGACTTTGTACTCAGACCTTGGCTCAGTGGGTCAGTGGTGATTGTTTCGCTCTTTATCATTTCTAACACATTTCACATTTCATTATAATTATATTTATCATCTCAACTACCGTGATTGTCACGCCTGCCAAGTGCAGCAGTAGTTGTAATTGCAACCAAATCCATAGAACATTTTGACTGTCAGTGTCATGTCATCGACACGTGTGCATATAGCCAGTCAAATTATTAACAGTGAATTCGGTTTATTCTTTCGTTTGCAGCTGTGCCATGTGAATTTTTCGTGCCGTTTGTAATATTTTAATAATTATGTTATCTTGGCGTTATTCAATCTTCATCAAAATCTTTAAAATACAGATTCAAGATTTTGTACAGTGAGACACTTGATGAAATGATAAGGCTAGGGAGGTTCAACATTTACTTTATCATAAAATTAAATACAGGGTGTTCACGATTAACCCATTAGGGACGATAGGGTCGTTTACGACCCACCTTTTCTAGAGGCTATAGAGGACAAACCATAAGACTAAACGCAACGAATCTTTCGCACATATGCTCAACATTTATTGGGCTACATTATTGACTTTCCAGTCGAGACCCAATTAATTACTAACAACTAAATAATTAGGCTAATTAGTCGTCATAATTGGAAAATATTTCACTTTACTTCTTGCCTTGATTGGGACATTAAAACTTTATGTAGGCTTATTTTGTTGAGGACAAAATAGTTGCGGGCAACGATTTCCTTGAGACATATGAAAAGCCCGTGATAATCAGATGTTCACAAACAGAGCTAGACGCTGTTTACTAACTGCGGTCGCATACGACCCACTCGTCCGGGTCGCAAACGACCCATCACGGTTTTTCGGCTTTAACTTCTGAAACAAAGACGTTATGATAAAATAAAAACTGTAGCATAAGTTAAAAACATATGGTCAATACTGTGTAACTCTAACTTTTTAAAAATAAAGAATTTGGGTCATTAACGACCCACTCGGCTCACTTGCTTATTACTACATATGTCCATGTAACTTCTTGAATTCAGCCTAAAGCATGACATCATAAGTTTAAAATCGCCTCTCAGCAAGTGATAATCATCATAAACTGCGAAAAATCGGTTAAATGGGTCATTAGCGATCCACTAGGACCACAAAATTGATTAATTAAATGTAATGTTGTCAAACTTTTACAAATATTAGTATAAAAACATGTTATATCTTGGTCATTACTCCTGTACGTTGATTTAACTTTTAAAATCGATCAACTGGGTCAATAACGACCCACTCGGAAGTTGAACCACCTCATCAATTATTATCAGTATCATGCTGTTCCACCATCAAGAAAGACACTCGTAGGTTTTAATTCCACGCAAACCACGGGTGGCTGACTACTAGAGTACTAGCCCTTCTGAGATCCAGGGCCAACTGAAGGGCCGTCATCACTCATCAAAGAGCTGCGAGAATAACACTACTGCATATGCCTGGAGTTGCGTCCTGACTATAATACTATGGTGCGTGGAAATCTGTACCGAAAGGACCGTGGCCGTGCCGCAAAAGAAAAGGAATCGGCCCTCGTTCCTAACTTGCTAGGTAATAGCCATGCTGTTGTTGTTGCTTATTAGATTCTGTTACCTTTTTCGTCAATTTCGAATCTTGGTAAACGACCTGCTACAACCCACCGCTTGAGACCCAGGGTCCCACGGTGATCAGATCATGTCACTCAAGAAAAATCCCCGGAACGAAGTATACGAGATATCATGTAACCTTGGGTAAATACTAAAAGACGAGTGGTCAAATTGCATATTCTAATCCAACATGCCAATATGTTTTTTTCATTCCTAGAAAGTACGAGAATAACTAAACAACTGCTGCATTCAGATGGCTACATCTACAGCTCTGTGAAGAAGGACAAGGAAAAAGCCCCCCCCCCTCCCCCCCCCCCCCCCCCCCCCCCCCCATTTGGCTGGCGGTGCTGCAACCTGCAATCTCTCAGACAACTACCTCGTTTTGGGTAACAAACCCCGCAACAACGAGGCAGCTTTCAAAACGAAAACAAGTATTACGTAATCGGCCGAGAGGGAGGGGAGTTTCCAAATGATTAAGCTTGTGTAATTTTGACATAATAGCTATGTGGTGGGGGGGGGGGGGGGGGGGGGAGCGTAAAAATTGTCCAATAAGTGATTACGTAATATATGAACGGCCCCTAAGAAGTAAAGAAAGGGAGCTGCGATGAGAGTAGATGCAGCCATCTGAAATCTGAATCCAGCAGTTGTATAGTTCTTCTTGGACGTTCTAGGAATCGGGAAAAGATAGGCATGTTGTTTGCTGTCTCACGACATTACGGTCGTGTACTAACAGGTGATAAACTCACCTACCTATCAATCCAATTCTGCCCATTATTCGTCAGTCATTGGGTGACGTGATCTGCAGATTACAGTGAGACTCCAGATCTCAGAAGGGCTAGTAGTCAGCCACCCGTGGTTTGCATGGAATTAAGACCTACGAGTGTCTTTCTTGATGGTAGAACAACATGATACTGATAATTGATGTCGTGGTTCAACTTCCGAGTGGGTCGTTATTGACCCAGTTGATCGATTTTTAAATTTAAATCAACGTACAGGAGTAATGACCAAGATATAACATGTTTTTATACTAATATTTGTAAAATTTTGACTACATTATATTTAATTAATCAATTTTGTGGTCTTAGTGGGTCGCTAATGACCCATTTAACCGATTTTTCGCAGTTTATGATGATTATCACTTGCTGAGAGGCGATTTTGAACTTATGATGTCATGCTTTAGGCTGAATTCAAGAAGTTACATGGACATATGTAGTAATAAGCAAGTGAGCCGAGTGGGTCGTTAATGACCCAAATTCTTTATTTAAAAAAAGTTAGAGTCACACAGTATTGACCATATGTTTTTAACTTATGCTTTTTATTTTATTTTATCCTAACGTCTTTGTTTCAGAAGTTAAAGCCGAAAAACCGTGATGGGTCGTTTGCGACCCGGACGAGTGGGTCGTATGCGACCATAGCTGTATCTTTTAAAGTAAACGAGATACAGATTAGCTTTTTTGGATATCTCATTTTTGCTGTAAAGTGACCTAGTGTGTTAAACGGCATCAAAATCGGCAAACTTTAAAACTCGTCGTCCCTAATGGGTTAAATACATTGGTACGGTTGTAAACATCTGTAGCATAATTTGCAAAGAAGTAATCGGCTTTATTTAGCACTCGTTGTATTTGCAAAAAAATGGTTTTTAGACACAATAATGTTACATGCCCCTTGTAGATCAAATGTCGGGATGAAACACACCGAAAGGAAACCTCTCCAAAAAAAGGAGGATTTTATCGGATACTGGCAACTATTTGTCAGCTCTGAAGAACTGAAACGGCACCGCGGTAGCCATGGTACTTTCAAAGAGTCCGGCCTTGAGATAAGTAACACCACATCCACACACAAATACCCAATAGTCACACATAAGGGAATAGTTCTACGTGATGTACCATCTGTATCAATCAAACAGTACATTACGATGGACCAACTAGAAGGTTCTGAAAATAAAGGATCTGATTCTACGGACTGGCGAAGTAAAAGTGTCAATGTCCGTCCACAGAAACAAAAGATTGTCATTGACATTGGAAAGACGCTTCTGAAACGAGTTGGTAGCTGTTTTTCATGTGTGTGTCCTGTAGTGGGATTCCAAAGATTTTCTTCTCCTATTGGTCAACTCAACTCATCAAAGCAGCCAATGTAGGTTTTTAAAAAAACTGATATAAACATAATGTTTAGTACCAATTACTGGGACGTGCTCAGCCTGAGATTTCACCGGCACCATATCTTTTGCAGCTTCATTAGTAATTTAATAGTATAGTATTATAATACACATTTTGTCCATTCATGTTATAATTATAAATATAATGGACTGACGTGACGCACAGTACATCGCGTCGCAGCATTTCGAAAAGAAAGCGGCGCAAGGCCAGAATATTTTGAAGAAATTTAGAGGAATATCATATATTACCGATGAAAACAAAGCTTTGGTCCCCTGGTGAATAATTAACTGCAGCCTGATAATGATATAGATATTTGTAAAATATTTGTTCCAAGATCGTCGGCGAGTCCAACTCGTCGCACTGCACGTTTTGGCATGGTGGGTTATAAATCTACAAATAAATAATGCCAACTTGCCGAGCCATTAACATAATGATAATTAATCCGTGTTTTTCAAAATTAAAATTAAATCAGAATGTCTTATAGATCGACTAAAACAAGCGTGATCATTTTCCATGTCCAAAATCATTTAATCGTTTGCTGAGCTGAGCTGAATCGATATATGATATTTGACCAAAACCCATAATCATGGGTAGAGTGGACCGCTGCCAGTGTCTCTCTTTCCCAAACAAAAGGAAATGATATTAATTTGATTGACCGTTCTCAAATGCAAAATGATACCGAGAATGAAATCGGTCGCTCGCTTTTCCCATTCATTCACGGCTTACAATCAATCACATGTTGTAAAAATTCCTTTGGGTTGCGTTCGGGTCGATATACCTAGTATTTCGGGATAAGGGTGGTACTGGTAGTTAGTGAATTAGCTGAAGTTTATTGATTCTTTATTGCTGAGTACAGCTGCCTTCGGGTAGTTCTTCTTAATCTATTACAATTGTAAATTAATGGGAAAAGCGAGCGACCGATTTCATTCTCGGTATCATTTTGCATTTGAGAACGGTCAATCAAATTAATATCATTTCCTTTTGTTTGGGAAAGAGAGACACTGGCAGCGGTCCACTCTACCCATGATTATGGGTTTTGGTCAAATATCATCTCTTTTTGATTATAATGTCAGGGTATTTTATAAAGTCGAAATATAAACTGATGTCTTCATTAATAAGGAGGAAGTTTCAACGATTTCGAAATTTTTCCTTTAAAAACATTTCCTTGTGTTTAGGTAAGCATATCGGTCTATCACTGACTGAACATAAAACATTATAATCATTCAAGTTGCCATTAAATTCATATATAATGACATTGAACTGTCGTGGTAAAGCAGAATTTGTTCGAAATCACGAATGAGCAAAATTCTCACCGTTCGCACGTGCAAACTTTGAGCGGTTGTTGCGTGCGCATCCAATACTGAATCGCCGTAAATTTTTGCATAGCGGTATTTTATATATAGTTTGATAAGA